AAACCACGCGCGCAAGGGCGTTTCAACGATTCTTACACGCGCTCGCGAGAGGCCCGTTTGGTAGCATTTAACGAACATGTTGAAAACCGGTGTTTTCTTACAGGTCGGCAAGATCGCGAGCACAGTTTTTCTTTGAAGGTCCATTTTATTTGTTTTTAAAGTCATACGTTTCGTGGCACCCGATTTCGACATCCTTGCGAAACCAGAGAGTTTCGAGCGATGTCGGCACGCGCGCGACGACGCGCGCGTGTGAACCTCTTTCATTTTTTCTTTGCGTAAAACATTACTATACTTTTGGAAGGGACGTTTGGAAATTGTTATTTTCATCAGCGAGTGTACGTGCTATTTTTAACAGAAGATGAGGGGGGCCGTTCCCGGTTTGTTTGGCTAGGATGATACAGTACAATACGAACGGCGGTTGAAATTCTGGGGGGGGGATCGATTCCAATATTTTTTTTTGGAAAAAAACCAACCTGGTACAACTTATGTGGCGCAACATGTGCTGTGGGCATGCTGTGGCCTATGTGCAGTCTATGTGGTGCATTCTTTGTGGTCCCAGGTCTGTGGTGCAGCTTATGTTGTGCAATTTGTTGTGTGCAATATATGGAATGGGTTCCTTATAGATTGTGCAAACTGTTGTTTGCAACCCTTTTGGTGCAATGTATGTGGTGCAACATGTCATCTGCAATTTGTACATATGTTTACAATGTGTAATGCAGTCTAGGTGGCACAACACACATATTCCCATATATTTTCATATGGTGCAATCGACGTAGTGCAACCTATTCGGTACACTGTTTGCGGCTTCGTATGTGTAGCGTGATCTGACTGTTGCAATCTATGATGGGCAATGATTTCTATGTACTGATTTTTGCTCAACTGGCGTAGTACAATATCGGTTGTGCAATCTATGTGATCGAATCCAGGTAGTGCATTATATGTGTTTCAACCTCGGTCGTGCAATATCTTTCGGCGTGATATATGTTGGGTAGTGCACGTTGTTCAGTACATGTGGTGCGACCTCGGTGGTGCAAATTATGTGGTGCAAGGTCGGCGGGTCAACTAATTTTCGATATCGATGGGTTGTCAACCTCTTTGTTCGCGCAACCATCCCACCCACACGCCCGCAATTGGGTTTGCAGAACCCATGCATCGGCGATTGCGATGACAGCTTGGCGCTGGTTGGCGCATCGCTGTGGCCGCGCTAGCGCGCGCAGGCTCGCGCGCAGAGCGGCCAGCTAGCCTGGCGCGACGGACGCGGCCGCGATGGCGCTGACCGTTTCTCATCGCGTCTCGCAGTCTGCGTGGACGCGGTATCATGGCGACGCCGACAAGGGCAGACAGGATGTTGATTTGTGGCGGTGCTGGTGACGACGGTGACGATGACGACGGCGAAGCCCATGATGGTGCCGATGCTGATCGCGCCGCTGACGGTGACGGTGTCCGCGCGTCGGGGGTGAAAGTTTTGGAGCCCACAGGGGCTCGCGCAGAATTTCCGACCAGCCATGTTGAAATTTGATTTTCAAAACAGCAGGCCATACATATGGTTCGGTTCATCCGATTTTCATCGTTATGAAACCCATACGTCGGGAAAAGTTCGGGCATGCGCGCGACCACGCGCGCGTGTGACGTTCAGCTGAATTGATGCATTTTGATAACCGAGTGTGCGCGCACGATGTTTTGTGCAGAAGGATGGTGGCGGGTGTCGAGCCGGATTTGGCTGGGATCGTATGTACTTGAATTTTTAAATTGAACGATGAGACAACATTGTGTGTACATTCGCGCATCCCCAGAGGGGGATTTTTGATCGTGGTTTCGGGGATGTGGTCGATCCCAATTCCGTGTTTGAGAAAATAGTCGGCCTGATATAATTTGTGTGGTGCAATTAACTCGCCTGCTCCGTGCATGACCACATTCCATGCTCGTGCAAACATCCCGCTTACCCACACCCAATTGAGTTTGCAATCCCCATGCGGCGACGATTGCGACGACAGCTTGGTGACGGTTGGCGCATCGATGCGGCCGACCTGGCGCGCGCAGGCTCGCGCGCAGAAGGCCAACTAGTTTGGCGCGACCGACGCGGCCACGGTGGCGCTGACCGCTGGGCAGTTCCCTTCGCGTCTTGCACGCGCCGCTGAACGATTTCAGCATGCGCGTGCGGCCGACGGGCGCGAGTGGCCCGCATGGCGTTCTTGGTCGGGGATCGTGCCGCCCCCAGCACGCGCGCAGGGTTGTTCGAATGATTTCGACACGCGCGCGCTAGAGGCCCGTGTGGTTGCATGTGACGAGAGTGAACAACGTATAATTTTGGTGTTTGCGAATTCCCAGGAGCGCGCGCGTACTTTTGTTTGTTCGGAACAACTATTGCGAGCAACCGCGCTGCAACGCAATATGTTTTCTGCTCGAAGGATATGTTCGGAACGTTCGACTGTGGCATCCCTTCGCCAATTATTGTGTTCGAATTTTCGACAGTCGCGCGCGACGATGCGCGCGTTCGCATTTCGTCACATTTTATCAAACGGTGTTTGGACGTAGACGAATTTTTGCAAACGAGCCAGTTCGAATCTATTTTATTCAGAAGATGGTGGGGGTGTCGAGCCTGGTTTGGCTGGGATTATAGGAAATCGCATTGTAAAATGGACGACGGGGCCAAATCATACGTACATTGCACATCGCCAGGGTTAATGGTTAAGTGCACCTTCGGGAGGGTGGTCGAATCTGTTATCTGTTGGAAAGGGAAAGCATGTTTTGCAATCGATGTGGCGCAGTCTATGTCGTGCATCTATGAGGTACAACATGCGGTCCGACGTATGTGTGTATATACATATATATATATATATGTATAGACAGATTGCGCGATTTATGTGGTGCAGTCTATGTTGTGCAACTTATGTGGTGCACGCTACGTTGTTCAACATATGTGGAGCAATTTGTGCGGCGCAGTCGACGTGGTGCTGTCTATGTGGTGCAGCTGGTGTGGTGCAATCTATGTTGTGCAATCTAGGCGGCGACGGGATGGGCGGCGACAAGGCGGCGACGTGGCGGCGGCGGCGGTTACCGTACCGCGAAACCGACATCCAGGGCCAGCCGACGAGCGGCGACGAGGCGGCGACGGGGCGGCGACGTTGGCCACAGCTGCCAAGCCGATATTTAGGGCCAGGCGACGGGCGGCGACGAGGCGGCGACGGGGCGGCGACGGCGGCCACATAGCCGCCAGACCAACATTCAGGGCCAATTCCTAATAGCAGAAGTAAGAACCCCTAAGTGCAAGCACTGCTTGGGGAATGTCGTGGTAGGCCTATAGGAATGCCGGAAGGTTCTCCGCCACTCCCAACTCTTCCGACTCGTCGATTTCGATTCTGATTCCGATTCGATTCGATTTTGCATTCTGATCAGGATGCTGGTTTCTCCCGACCTGGCTGCTGGTTTCCGCCGATCTGATTCCTGTCGCTTGCCGACCTCATCCGTCGATTTGATTCTGGGCTCTCCTATGAACGGGTGCTGAGGTTCTTCGCCACTCCGGTCCATCCTCTCGAGGAAGCGCAGGCATGAGCGGATCCGTGGGCGCGTGGATTCGCGACGAGCCCCCCTGTCCGTGCCGAGGCGGCGTGCTCCGCCGCCCAAGTGAGGCGGCACTGGCCCCCCGCTTCGGGGGCTGCCCTCCCCGACCCCCCGTCAGCGTCCCGCGCGAAGACCCACGTTGCACCGAGCGCGTTCCACCTACTCGCAGAGTGCCTGCTCGCAAGCGTCCGGAAAGAACACGTGTCTGCTCCAATGTGATTTTTCTCATGGATCCCGGGCCGGCCCTGGGAACGGCAGCCTTGTGTCATGGGCCTGTTCTCCACCACCACCAGAAGTTGGACGGGGAGGGGGTCCTCCTCCTCCTCCTTCTCCTCCTCCTCCTCCTCGTCCTCCTCCTCCTCCTCCTCCTCCTCCTCCTCGTCGTCCTCCACCTCCTTCCCCCCTCCAAACTTATGGCGGTGGTGGTGGTGGCGGTGGTGGGAAACAGGCCCAGCCTCTCGCCGCACCGACGCGCGCCAGCGACCCCGGCGCGGGGCGTCCCAGGCCGGAGAGCCGGCCGACGAGCGCTCCGCGCCAGCGGAGAGCCGCGACCGCTCCAGCGATCCGCGCGGTGCTCTGCCTCTGCTCCATCCTCCTCCGTCCTCCTCCTCCTTCTCCATCCTCCTCCATCCTCCTCCTCCTCCTCCTCCTCCTCCTCCTCCATCCTCCTCTCCTCCCTCCTCCTCCTCCTCCTCCTCCTCCTCCTCCTCCATCCTCCTCCTCCTCCATCCTCCCTCCTCCTCCTCCTCATCCTCCTCCTCCTCCTCCTCCTCCTCCTCCTCCTGAGCTCCTCCTCCTCCCCCTGGACGGAGTCCGAGTAGATGGGCGATGCGCCTCGCTGCGGTCCACGCTGGCGTCGCCGGTGCACCGGCGATGCGTCGCCGATGCATCGGCGATGCAGCGGCGCGATCCTCCGACCCCCACCTGCTCGGACCCCATCTGGGAGGCCTCTGCTGGCGAGCCAGCGCCGGCGTCGCCCCGCGACGGACTCGCCGTGCCCAGGGCCTGCTGCCCCCGGGGGTGCCCCCCTTGGCGTGCTCACGTCGGCGAGGGCCGCCGCCGGCCTGCAGAGGCCCGGCGGCAGGGCGCCCGGCGGCGCGGCCAACAGCGGCATGGCGGAGCTGCTGGAGCGGGTGAGGGACGCGGGCGTGGAGATGGACCGAGTCAAGTCGAAGAAGGACAAGCGCCATGCACATGAACTCTTGGCGCTCCGTGCGGATTTCTTGCATCCGCGCTGGGGCCCCCACCCGGCGGCACCTCCGGCGCCGCCCCTGGCGCTCCGCGCGCCAGGGGGGGGGGGGGCGAGCGCAGATCCAAGAAATCCGCGCGCAGCGCCAACAGTGTATGTTGATGCGGTTTTGCTTCTTCTGTCAATGCCCTCGAGATGGAGGACGTGGACCTTTCGGGCGTGGATCCAGGTGCAAAGGCCGATGTCGTGAGATGTCCGAGGTGCGAGAAGGACATCTCTGTCTTCGTGTTCGACAGCCACATGCACTCTCACTCGTCGGAGATCCTTCCCTGGCTTTTTCTCGGTCGTGCGGTGAATGCAAGCAACGCCAAAGAGCTGACTGTCAGGACTGGTATCACGCACATTCTGAACGTGGCCCATGAGGTTGCGCAGGACCATGTAGAGGGGGAGGAGTGGCGGCAATGGAACCGCGAGCGTGGCAGACCTGCCGAATATCTCAAGGTGCACTGGACCGACACGAAGGATCAAGACATTATTCGGGAGATGTCTGCTCCTGTGGAGTTTATCCGCAGAGCTCACGAGGCAGACCCTCAACACCGTGTCCTCGTCCACTGTGTTCAGGGGATCTCGCGCTCTGCGTCCGTGGTCATGCAGTTGCGCTGCCGCGTACACTCGCCACCGCGCTCTGGGTCAGAGGCGCAGTGGCGCTGCAGCGTTCCACTGCTGCGGCGTTGCTTGGTTGTGGCGTTGCCTCTTGGGGGCCTCTCGAGGTCCTCGTGTGAGCCTCTCGGGAGCCTCTTGGAGGACTCGTGGTTCCTTTTGCGCACCTCGGGGGCATTTGGCGGGGCTCTTGGGGGCCTCTCGGAGGCCTTTTTTTTGCGCGCCTCTAAAACCTCCCGGCGGTCTCGGGAGCCATCCTGGTACAAGAGAGCTCGTGGGACCCGTTCGGTCTCCCTCCTGCGGGGACTACTGCATGGAAGCACATGCTGTTTTCAAGATGCCTTGGCCTCGGCGAAGGTCACGCGTGGCGGCCTGACTGCGAATCGGGCGTCGCGCCCCAGAGATCCGCGGGTCTGGGGCCTGAGCCCCTGGAAGGGTCTCTGGCACCCGGTGGGGCCCTCCATGCCGCCACCGTGCCTGGGCTGCAGGCCAGATGCCGCCTTTTCGAGTAGGGGGTCGACTACAGCACTGATGCACCCCAGCACGGAAATTCCCATCGAATTTTCGGCACATGAGTAGGATGTTCGTAGATGTATGCGCGTTCTACGTTTTTGTTTAGTTTCTTTTTTGTTGTTTTGATTTCAGTAGAGTCGACGAAACAAAGAATCCAGGGGTAGTGACATTTTGTAGTCGACCCCCCTATTCGACCCTTTGGTGCCTGCGGGGACCTTGTGGGAGGCCTCTCGGGACCCTCTCTTGGGCGGTTTCTGGGGCTGTTCCGGGGCCTCTCGGGGGCCCCTTCAGGGCCTCTCCTCATGGCGCCGTCATCGCAGAGCGGATTTCGTTCGGCAAGCAATGGGATGGGCCCAGATTGTCCTGGAGAGTCTCGTTCTGGATTTCGAGGTGAACTTCGTGCGGATTTTCTTGGGCCAGGAGCGAAGACTGCAAATAATCCACGTGACATGCACTTCGTTTTTCGCTCGCCGATTCTTTTTGGGAGCGTTACACGGACGGAAGTCCACGCACAAACCCGCGGCAGCACGCCCGCAAGGTCGGAGCAGTGACCTCTCCGTGCCCGGCCTGGGCCTCCCAGGGGGGCCCCCTGCAGCTTCCGGGGGGGGAGGGAGGGCGCCCATGGGGGCCCTGCTGCTGGTCGCGCGGGCCTCCTCGGGGCATTTCGGCCTGGGGGGCGGGCGGCGGCGCCGCGCGGCAGCTCGGCCTCCCCCCCCCCCTCTCGGGGCCGCCCTCGGGGCCGCCTCGGGACCCCCTCGGGCCGCCCGGGGGGGCGCCCCGCGGGGGCCCCTCGGGGGCCCTTCGGGGGGGGTGGAGGCAGCCTCCCGGGAGGGGGGGGGGGCCTCGGCGGGCCGCGGAGGCAGCAGCTCGGAAGCCGGGGGCCGCCAGGGGGCCTCTCGGCGGAGGCCCCTCGCGGGGGCCATCCCGCGGGGGCAGTCTCTCCGGGCGGCCCCGCGGCGGGCCGCGGCACGGCAGGCGGATCGGCTGGGGCCCCTGCGGTGAAGTCGGGCGTGCCCCTCTGCAGGAGGCACAGTCAAACATAGTCAAGGCATATTCTGGGGGCGGCAAAGGGGGGGTGATGACTGAGATAAGGTGTCATTGCGGCCCGTTGGTTGTTACTGCGGCCCGGTGGGTGTTAGTATGGCCAGGGGTCCTCCGGAGTGTATTAATTATCGAAAACGGTGAGGGGGGGGGCTTCAAAAAGGCTCCGCCTCCCCCCCCCCCCCTTCACCGAAGAGCCTCTCGGAAGAGCCTCTGGTGCTCTCCGAAGAGCCTCTTGAAGCCGCCGAAGACCTTCTTGCAGCCGCCTAAGAGCCTCTTGGGCTCTCCGAAGAGCCTCGTGGGGCCTCCGAAGGGCCGCCTGGGGCATCCGAAGCGCTTCTTGGGCTCTCCGAAGAGCTTCTTAGGCTCTCCAAACTACTAATACTACTACTACTACTACTACTACTACTACTACTACTACTACTACTACTACTACTACTACTACTACTACTACTACTACTACTACTACTACTACTACTACTACTACGACGACGACGACGACGACTACGACTACGACTACGACTAGACTACGACTACGACTACGACTTACTACTACTACTACTACTACTACTACGACTACTACTATTACTTCTACTACTACTATTGCTACTACGACTACGACTACCATTACTATTAGTATTACTACTACTACTACTACTACTACTACTGCTAGTACTACTACTACTACTACTCCTACTACTACTACTACTCCTACTACTACTACTACTACTACTATTACTACTAGTACCACTCTCACTACTACTACTACTACTACTACTACTGCTACTACTACTACTGCTGCTACTACTACTACTACTACTACTACCATTGCTACGACTACGACGGCTACTACTACTATTATTATTACTACTACTACTACTACTACTACTACTACTACTAGTACTACGATTACGACTACTACTACTACTACTACTACTACTACTACTTCTTCTTCTACTACTACCACTACTACCACGACGCTGACCCACTACTACTACTACTACTACTGCTGCTACTACTACTACTACTACTACTACTACACTACTACGACCACCATCACTAGGACTACGACTACGACTGCTACTACGACGACCACTACTACGACTACTACTGCTACGACTACTACTACGACTACTGCTACTACTACTACTACTACTACTACTACTATTACTATTATTACGACTACGACGACTACTACTACTACTACTATTAGTCGTAGTAGTAGTAGTACTACTACTACTACTTCTACCACTACTACTTCTACTACTACTGTTTTTACTACTACTACTACTACCACTACTACTACTTCTACTACGACTACGATTGCTACTACTACTACTACTACTACTACTACTACTGCTACTACTACTGCTATCACGACTACTACTACTACTAGTACTACTACTGCTACTACTACTGCACTACTACTACTACTACTACTACTACTTACCACCACCACCACCACCAACTACTACTACTACTACTACTACTAATAATACTACCACTAATACATACTACTATTACTAGTAGTAGTTGTATAGTAGTAGTAGTAGTAGGTAGTAGTAGTAGTAGTAAGTAGTAGTATAGTAGTAGTATAGTAGTAGTATAGTAGTAGTAGTAGTAGTACTACTACTACTACTACGTCTACTACTACTGCTGCTACTACTACTACTACTACTACTTCTCGTCGTCCCTAGCGCCCAAGGGCTAGCAGTCCCTAGCGCCAGTACTTCCTAGGGCTAGTACTCCTTAGCGCCAGTACTTCCTGGCACTCCCTCGGAGTAGCACTTCCTAGGACTAGTATTCCCTAGGGCCGGTACTCCGTAGTGCGAGTACTCCCTAGGACGAGTACTCCCATGGACGAGTACGCCCTAGGGGTAGTAATTCTTAGGACTGGTACTCCCTGGGGCTAGCACTCCCTGCAGCTAGTACGCCGTAGGACTAGCACTCCCTATGAAGCAGATTACCTAGCACCAGCACTACAGCACCATAGTACTACAACACTACAGCACCACTACCACAATACCAGTACCACAACACCACAACACCGCTACCACAACACCACAACACCGCTACCACAATACCACAACCACAACACCACAACACCGCTACCACAACACCACTACCACAGCATCACTGCCACTACCACAACACTAGTACCTACTAACAACTCAACAACACTACCAAGACCACACCACTAACACAACACTACCAACACCGCACCACTAACGCAGCACATCACTACCAACACCACACCACTAACACAGCATACAGCACAACCAGCCACTACCAGCACCACACCATTAACACAACATTACCAACACCACAACACTAATACAGTACAGCGACCACCACACCACTAACACAGCACTACTACCACGTTGGTTCCAGGTGGGAGTTACTGTGGCCACTTTTGCCTGCGCGGGAGTGCATTCCCTTAAGGGTTGCGAATCTCTCCAGATCTAACATGAGATACCTTTACATATTACTTTTCATTGAGCGGCCTGCGCGGGCCACAGTAACTCCCATCCCGCCGCGCGACGGGCCACATTAACACCCAACGACGGGCCACATTAACACCCAACGGGCCACAATAACAACAGGTCGTGGTGATGACTAGGGGGGTGTGGATATCATGGCGGCAGCGCTGGTCGAAAACGTTGTTTTACAAGAAAGTGTCCCGGCAAAGCGACCTAACAGCGATGTGTAGGAGCATATCTGGAAGCATTCCCCTTAATATTCAGATGAGAATCCTGTTGTAGAATTCTGCTGTTCTCGAAGTCGTAGTCGCATTCGCGATGGCAGTCGCAGTGGCAACGGCAGTCGCAGTCACAGCCTCAGCCTCAGCCTGCCTCAGCCTCAGGCTCAGCCTGCCTCAGGCTCAGCCTGCCTCAGCCTCAGCCTCAGCCTGCTTCAGCCTCAGCATCAGTCTGCCTTCAGCCTCGGCCTCAGCCTCCGCCTGCCTCAGCCTCAGCCTGCATCAGCCTCAGCCTCAGTCTCAGCCTGCCTCAGCATCAGCCTGCCTCAGCCTCAGCC